GGCAAGCCTGAAATTAGGTTGGGTATGTTTTCAATAAAAGCAAGAGGGTTTCACAAGCTTGACAGAGAGATATCGCTAGCTTCATTTGCTATGAGTCCCTTTAGTTATGGAAGAACAAGCAGATTTCTGCTTCACATGCCATTGTGTTGAGACAGCAAGAGAAGCTCTTTAGGCAGCTCTTGTGGCATTTCTATATATTTTTAGTTCTGGAAATAAAACCCGTGCATGGTTAACGACACGGGCATGGAACAAAAGGTAACCTATTGGTAGCTGGCAGATCTTCATATTTTTTTTATGTTTAATGACCCACTACAGATGGCATAAAGTTCTGTAGGAAACCTCTGACAAATGATGAGCCTTTCTGGACTCTTAGCAACAGGCTTATGTTAAGTTTCTTCCTCTTTAAAGTTGTAAACTTAAAACATCTACCATCTGATGCACGACATGTCAAATAAAGGTACATACCAGTCTTTGTCTTAAATGTTCTGACATCTGGCTCACTCTCTCCCTGTTTGTTGACTGCGAAGAGTTTCACTTCATATTCTGATTCATACTTTAGTCCAGTAATATTGAAGTAAGTTTCAACAATGCTTCCATGCTCTTGCTTTTCTAAGAATCCTGTTGGAAACTTCTCTCTCCATTCTAGACGGTAAGAAGGGCTTAAATCACTGCTGTCAGCCTCTGGTTGTGCCCAGGTCAGAATGAACTCCTTGTCAACTTTGCCTTCTTTATTTGTGATGACTGGTTTTTCAGGTAAACCTACAGTACCAAAAATTAATGATAACTCCTACATCTTAAACACATGTCAAGTACCTCTTAATTTAAAAGTAATCAGTTTCAAAAAACCTGAGATTAGCTCAGCATGTATAAGCCAGAGATGAAAGTGTAATGTGATTGTCCAGGTGAGTGTAGTCCTGAGAAGGACTGTTGTTGGTGGTGGTGACTGACATTTTGAAAACCTGTGCGGAAGTCATCATCAGAGTCAAGTGAATAGTTGTTGTCAGAAGAATGTTCTCAGTTGAGTTTGTGTGGAATGATTAGTAAGTTTGCCATGATGTTATTGGCTGTAAGGCTCAAGGGGTGTAAGTAACGCATGGTTGGCCTGTTTCGATCCATTGGTAAAGTTAGGTCATTCTGTTCGGTTCGTTTGTAATGTCAATGTTGCGAATAAGTCATTTGTATGGAGCCAGTGGTTGATGACACCTGTTGAAGGAAGTCTGTTCTAAGTTAGTAAACCAGCTTTCCAGAGTCGGTAGTTGAAAGTAGTTAATGCTGGTTCGTAAGTTAATGATATTAAGCAATGTGATTGTTGGCATCACCTTTCCTTGTCACCTCTCTGTGTTCAGTCAGTCTTGTTGTGAGATTTCTGCCAGTCTCTCCAATGTAGGAGGCTTGGCAGTTAGAGCAATTGATCTTCTAAATCCGT